TTTATTTTATTTTATTTTATTTTATTTATTTTTTGACTTTAAAAAAAAACTTTTATTGCAAAGAACATTATCCAATCACCGCCCGCTCTCTGTAGGTTATATTATTTATCTAAAACTACATACTTATTAACCCTATATGTTTTACTTTAATTTGTAGCTCAAAAATGCTCTAATATTACGTCTACAATCAGTGAAAAAAGGTGCTTTTCGAAGAAGAAACAAACAACAACCACAAAAGAGAACGCAATGACACCATCTTTTTCACCAACTACAAAAGGTAAGGATCGATGGTTATCAATAAAACAAAGATGAAGTTTTGAAACCACTTGATAATAGAGTAGAGTTGGAATACTATATCTGCGATTGCATAAATACTATGATATGAAACAGAATGAAACAACAAAAAAAGAACTAAGTATAATTTATAATATAACTAGATTATTACGCCCGCTCTGATTGGCCATAAACCAATTAACTATTTCCCCATGGGCTGCACGCTCGCGCACGCTGATCTCAACGGACGCTCGCCTTTTTTCTCTAAATTTTCAAACCCGATGGCGTCAATAGCGCGCGCACGAGCGAGATGGGTGATATAACGCGCGCTCTGATTGGCTGAAATGCCTATGAACTATTTGCCCATGGGTCGCACGTTAGATTTTTGGTCATATTATAAATCAGTTAGACGACAAAAAAGCGCTCGCCCATGGCGATATAGACGCACTTGAGAAAATATAAAGAACTTTTAACAAGCTAGAGTGTCACTCGGCTTCGCCTCGTGCCACTCTTTTGCTAGTTAATCGTTCTTTATATTTTCTCTCGTGCGTCTATATCGCCATGGGCGCGCGCTTTTATGTCGTCTAACTGATAAATATGATATAAAACATATTGTGAAGAACATTGACTTGTGTCTTATGGCCAATTTTCAAAAACCTTGGAATGGAAATGGAAAAGCTAGTTAAATATTGGCGATCTTAGGTACCTTTTTGCCCTTTTCGAGAGAGCTTTTTTTAAATAAACCTTTTACAGCTTACATCATCCGCGCGCGCATGAAATCACGGATTGGTAAAAAAAATAAAATAAAATAAAAAAACAATTGGAAAAGTAAAGTTTGTCCCCGAGTTCATATGATGAATATATACACCAAGGCCGTTTCTAGACCTCCTGGCCGGTAAATAACCCCTATGTGCGTACAGAATGTACCGTATAGTATGACTGAAAACCATGCGAAAGCTAACGAACCAGATTAGGAAAACTAGCATTAAAATAAAAGAGACAGTGATTTTAAAAGTATCGTTATGTCAATTTATAGAAATTGCTGACTGCTCCTGCTATTCATTCCACCATATTACGAAGAATTGGGAAGATAGCAATAAGATTTGCAAAAAGAACGGCGGGAACTTGGTATCCATGGAAACAGAAGAGGAATACCAATTTATCAACAAGACGATACAAAGTCTAAATGTAAGAAATAATGAGTGGTATATTGGTTTGAAGAGATCTAGAATATCAGGAACTGACTACTGGAGGTGGATTAGTGGCCATAGCATGACCATCATGAAATGGCTGCCAGGCGAACCAAGTAGATCAGAAGGTTGTGTTAAAATGATGAAACACTATAAAGGACGGGGATTATTCGATAACATTAACTGTAGAATACTATACATGTTCATATGTGAACACAAACAAAGGTAACTGCTTCAGTGGCAAAATGATATTTTTTCGTGTCTGTCTGTTTGTTTATTCCTTTTAGTTGTTTGCCGCTTTAGCAGATGTAGTGCATTGTGTATAGACAATCTCTCCTGTCCTTACTAGATATTATTCATCCAGTTAGTTAGTTACTTATTAATCTTTTGCAAATATTATGGTCCAATCACCCCCATCCTTCTGGGTTTATTATTCATCCAGTACGTTTAGTCACTTATTAATATTATGTATTTCCCATTGTAGCTCAACACTGTCCTAATATTACGTCTACAATCAATAAAAAAAGATGTTCTTTGCAGAAGAAACAGATAACAACCTCGAAAGAGCACATCGCAACAACACCTTTTTCACCAACTTCAAAAGGTGAGGATCGATGTTTATCAATAGAACAATGGCTTTATTGTATAGAAAA